ACTTTGAATCTGGGGGTCTTGCATTCTTATACTAATGGTCTCAAACACAGAGTTGGAGAGGGCTATGGGAGAGGGGTTCACCAACACTCACATGGATATGAAATGGGCAAACTATACCTTCTTCGTCAGCTGATCTGGACAGCCACCAATATACCCACACAGAACTACAGTGGGGAACAAAGTATGGGGCTCTGTGATAATCATTCCAGTTCAGCAATATGCTGTGACTCTGATCTCCAGAGTTTCATCACACTGGCCACGGGAGAGCTGCAGTGGCTAGACTTGTTCTGGTTTTTTCCTCCCTGGCCTTATTCACAGAGCAGATCTATTAATTCGAGTGGCAGCTACCATTTTACAGACTCAGTGTAGTCAATCTTAACAGCCCCAGCTCGGGGATGCATATAAAAGATGCCTGTACATGTTCCTATAAAACAGTAAATGATAAAAGGGGAAAACAGGGTTATCAAAACAGGATATAATAATTCACACACAAAGCATGTAAAGGTAAAAGCAGATGAGTCATAAACCAGAACCAAACGTAAATAGTTACCGCCTCTCGGTTTCGCACTTGATTTGCACGGATTTTGCTGGTTATATAACTGTAATGGAACACTAAAATCACTGGACCTACAGTCCTATGAAAACAGCAGCTTTGCAAACTTTCAATTTTCTATTTTCAATGACAGCGAATTCAACATTTCAAAGTACAGAAGTTAAATGAGGCGAAGAATGATAAATGATGCCCCACGATTGCTGAAATCTGATTACCCAGAGATAAGAACAGGCCAGATTCTACTTGCACAACTTTGGACCTAAAGCATGAGACAAATGAAAGAAAGAAGGGGAGAAAAAAAAGCAAAAGGGGAAGAAAAACTTTAGGGAAATGAATGCTTCCATTTATCCCTCCTAAATATAATATAAACAAGGACACAAAGAAAATGCAAATGGATTCCGGATCCCATGGACACTCAGGGGGGATATTAATAAGCCAGTTCCATCCTGAAAGAAAACCCCCAAATCGACCTCCATTTAAGAAGCTAATTTATGCACTCCTGAGTCCTCATACAAGTTAAGCAGCACAGAGTATCACAGCAGGCGTAGAACAACAGATCTTGAGCCCTGCTGTGTTTGTTCAAGAAGGCAAGTTAGCTATTCCTAACAGGAAACAAAACATGTCATTGGGCTATTAAACAGGGATCCTTCTGCCATACTGTGCAGCCCTGAATGCATCAATTGCTGTCCCAAACAGGATTAGAGATGTGGTTTTCTTTAACTATGGTTTTGAGAAAAATGCTTATGCTGCTCAGAATTCTCAGACTGATATTAACTAATCTAGTGCCAGGCCAGACAGAGCACTCTCGAAACCTTCATGGAAAGGTCTCTTGACATACTCCAAAGTTGTGAGAAGGCAGCATAAAATAAAGGGAAGGCGATACAGATGGGGGTGGGGGAGTTAACCCGTGTACACAGCCAAATTTGGAATTCCCCCAAGAGTATTTTTGCCTTTAAGTAGTCAAGGCCCCACTCTACAATGATTAATCATGCAGTGAACAAATGATATTTCATTTCTGTAGACAAAACCCACCTGAATGAATATGCAGTTTGAAAAAAATGGACTATTTTTGCTGTGAATGGCAATTGAAAATACACTTGCAAATGGTTTTGGGTAATTCTGCTGTGTTATTATTATAAAATGGGATCTCCCAGATATTTCTGTAGAAGTCAAGAAGTTCCATGTAAGAAAAAAAAAAGGCAAATCTTTCTTACATATGGACCTTTCTTCATTGTTCAATGTCGGACAATCAATCCACTGGAGAAAGTGGTTCAATTTCCACTAAAAAGAACAGATTTGTGATGCCTTGAGGGCATCGGGTCTGTATTGCTACATGGTTTTTAACCAAAACTTCAGGATACTTCACTGCATTTGGTGAAAATATTGAATACTGATTAGGCATATCATCAGTTAGTACTATCCCAATGTGACAGCAAGGGTTGAAATTTATAGAGTCTAGAAATGAATCACAGTAAAAACAAAATGAAATTCTTTTTGCAAACCATTGTTCTAGCAAACAGTCATAAGCTAGAAGATAAGTTTTGAAAGACCCTCAAAATATCAGAATTATGAAAACCATAACTTCTAGCCAACAATCATTAATGACTACCATACATATGAGGGACACCCAAATGGGACATTTTCAGTGATAGATCAGCTAAGAGATTAAAGTAAGCATGTTTACAGAGGCATAACTATTTAAAATATTTATGGAGAAAACAGCTGCAGATGATACAAAGAGAGATTCCAACAAAAACACAGGACAAATGCAGACACCATGTGGTCCAATGTATGCACCCATGGCCTCATGTGAAAAGCAGGCCAAAGACGTAACAGCTGGAGATGCCTCCCTTTTACCCCCAGAACAACAAACTCTTGGGTTTGGAAGGGGCTCATTATAATCATGCCCATGGCTGGTTGAAATCTATGGGTAACGTCAAAGGCTTTGGGAAGAAATATCTCAAAACAATTGTCCCTGGAAGCCTTTGCTTTGTTGGGGTTTCAAGCCCAATCTGCATTTCCTTCTGACTCCACATAAAAGGTGAAGTCAGGTAATGAGAGTTTTTAATGAAATAGAGGAGCATCATGGATCTTCCTGGCACTTTTGTCATCTCCTGATTATTCATTAGGCTTGAGTCAGAACCACAAATCACTGCAGAGACCCCAGACCACCACATCCCATATGATCTGCTCATATGTTCTCTAGAGCATCAGAAGCCAAGACACGCAAATGGTAGTAGAAACTCTAAGTTTTTTGAGTGTCTAGTACATGGCAAGTTCTGTGCTAGGCACAAGTAAAAGAAATAACTCTCATAACAAAACTGGAAAACTAGTCTATTGTTCTTGTTAAATAAAAAGAATCCTAAAGCTTAGAGAAGTTAATTAACTCGCCCATGGTCACAAATGGATGGAGGCTGGGATGCAACCCACCATATTCCTTGCTGATCAGGCAGCAGGACAATGAGTTTGAGGGAGGGCTGATGCTCTTAGGAACCTCATATTTCCAGAAGAGTGTTCTGCAGGTGTCACTGAAGTAACACTGGGGATGGAGACGGGAAGGGCGTGAGGGGCACTGATACTCATCTACCAGCAACTGAGATAAGCTGGCCTGACGCAGGGTGCCTTCCATCTGCAGTGTGACTCTCCTCAGCTGCTCTCCACCTTCCAGCCCAGATCCCCAAGGTTTAATTTAAACTCCTTCTCTAAAGAGCTGAATTGCCCTGAAATGACTCCAAGGAGTTCTGAGACCATTTTTCATGCAGGGCTCTTAATAATTTTTAAGGTAAGTACCTTTCTCTATTTTAACAAAAAGACAATTTGTATCCATGGTGAGGAATTGGACGGGGGTGGGGGGGGGACAGGAAGAGCTATTCCTTGTGACACAGGGCTGCACAGCAAGCCCTTGGATGGTCCAACATCTTTCAGAAAGGCACTGGGGCATCCTCCTCAATTCCAAACTTTCTATTTGCGTGGCATGTGATGTGAGTGACAGAAGGAAAGAGGGCAGGGAGCTAAGTGTTATTGAAGAATCATATGTCCCAGCAACTTTTGTTCTTACCATATTCTTTGTTGGTTTGTTTCGAACCTTGTTTTAAAGTTCCATGGCTGATGGCACCTCAAATTCATGAGGAATCTTCTACAATAGAATGCTTCTGTATATGGATCAGTGGAAGCTTGATGAATAAATTCCAGTATGTTGAGGCCGGTCCAGTTTTAGGCACTGAATTCGTTAAGTCTCTTTACAAAGAAATTTCAAGTGTGGGCAATTAAGAAAGCACGACCTATTAAAGATGCCGATCCTTCCAGATAATGTGGAATTTTGACCATATATTTATTCTGGAAGCTGTTGTTCTCAAATACTTGAACTTTTAATGAAGTGTTCAGTCTTTTTGTGATGGCACTGAAGTGTAATCAAACATTACTACAAGCCAAGTCACACACTAGCATGTCTCGCCTTGTTTAAATATCTCAAATATATTTGAGTAATTGTGTAATGATTTCTAGGCCTCTGGTTGTCCATATGGTCTGAACAGACTGTCTTTTGCAGAGCAGTTGTACTATCTCTCTCAACGGGAAGGAATCAAATCATCTTTGCTCCAAACTGGAAAGCTTGGGAGGTACTGCTTACATTTCGGGGAGGTGCCTTACCTCAACTCTTGAAACAAAACCAACCCACATCTGGCCCCCAGAAATCACTGTGTCTTCTGGAAATCTTGCTTGTGTTTGTGAAATATCCCAGAACAAGTCAGCAGGCATCATGTGTCATGTTTTCTTCTGTAACTGTCCTTAGGATACAATGACATGCCATGGGGATGACAGAGCAAAGCCAGCATGGCAATCACATGGAACCTTACTAGACAGAGAACATTCTACATGGTGAAACCAGATCATCTCAGACAGACAATGAGGACCAGTGAAAGGGTCTGACTTTGGCAAGAACTTTGCTCTAATTCTCTCCAGGTGGTACAGGCGATGAGACAAGCAAAGGAGCTATTGATTTTGCAATTAATGAAACCCATGGGGAGTCTTCAGATATTTGGCTTAAGAGCCCAGAATCCAAACTTAGTCACTGGGCCTTACAAATTATTCACATTAGCTGTATCCCTGGGAAAGTACCTCAGGGAAGACCTGGAACGCTGTGTTTGAAGGAATGTGCTAAACTGACTCTTGGACCTATTATTTGAGAATTCTTAGCAAAATGTATGGGTGCAGAGCTGCCCCCAAACTACTGGCCACAATAGGGTTCTTTGATGGGACAACCTTGGCAGGGAGACAGTGGACAGATGAGTCTGGTGGTCTTTCTGCTCCTGCCCAACCTCAGGCTTTTGAAGTTTTAAGAGGAAAACCATTTCACTGGTCATGAACAGTACTGAACGCACAAAGTCATGGAGACATGCACAATTTGCGAGTTCTGGGGATGACTGCAATGTTATGGAAAAGAGTTTACCTTTTGTGCCTGAGGGAGCTGAAAAACAATAGGAAAACAAAACAAAAAGAAAAGAAAGAAGCAATCATTACATAAAAAGTCAAGATTAACTGTAAAACTTCATTTGATCACCATTGGCAAATGGAAAAACCAAAACTGGAAGAAAAAGAGGGAAATAAAACTAAAGCCATGTCATTTCCCCAAATTAAGCTACGGTGCTGATTATTCAACCTGCTCTCTGAATCCAGAGTATCAACAGATAATCTGTGAGCATATGTTTTGGGAATCACCACTCCCATGCAGGCAGTTTGGCAACTTCCCGCAATGCTAGACCTGAGGTTCTTCTGTTCAGTGGCCATAAACACACATTTCCAAGACCCAATTCCTCCTTCTTGCACACCAATGGTTTCCTAGTAGAGGAGGACTGTCTGGAGACATCTGGGGTTGTCAAAACTGGTGAGGGGAGGGAGCCAGAGATATTGGCTTCTAGTGGGTTGAGACCAGGGACGCTGCTAAACATCTTACAATGCAGGGGACAGCCCCCACAAAAAAGAATTATCCAGCCCACATGCCAATTGTGCCAAAGTTGAGAAACCCTTCTGTACATAAAGGTAAGACCATTAGAAGAATGTTCTGTTTTTAAAGTCAATTTTTCTTGCTTTGTAGCACATTAACTGTTCCCTTTATTGGTGGTTAAGAAAACATGCACAAGGATTTGTGCATTTGAAATAAAGCTGATATTCTAAGAACAACGAAAAGGCAGTCAGTTAATCCATAAAATAAGACATAATAGCTTTCTCAATGGTACAGGCAAGAAACAAATTATAGGTATGTGGGAAAAGATGAACATTTACGAGACATGTCTATTTTTCAACATTGAGACTGTTAGGCTGTGGTTTAATGCCACTGTATTTGTGACTGCCATTAGAGCATGCAATGTTTTGAAAAGCATTTTTCTAATCTGAAATGGAAATTACATTATCCATGTATTAAATACCAAATCTAGGAGTTACATCATTTTCAAGACTTACTTCTCATCATAGAGACTAACATTTATTGTGTGTGAACTTGTCACCAGGCACTGTTTTAAGCCTTTTATTTGCATTATCCTACCAAATCAAAGCAACCCAATAGTACCCTTATTATCCTCATTTTATAGATGAAAAATAAAATGGAACCTAGAGGGTAAGTAATTATATAATGTCCCATGGATAATAAATTGTAGAGCTGGATTGCCTAACTTTAGAAGGTGCAAATTCAACCCAACTCACACAGCAAAGGCCACGAACACTAGGAAATTAGAGAGTAGACTTTTCTCTCTTTCTCTCTAGCGCTTATAACATTGGAAGTGCTAGAAGATGCAAAAATAACTAAACCAGACATCTTGGGGTCCCATTTGAACCTTTGCCTTTCCCATTCATTTAGCCCTGGGAAGAAGGCTCTCTCTTCATATGCACTAAGACCAGGGCTTCCTAGGGCCCTGCACCTGTAGATAGAGCCCAGCAAAGGGCAGAAGGGATAGACACAAGCCAACAAAATGCCTTGGATCTCAGAGACAACTCCAGAATAATTTGGAGAATGTCCATGAAGAGCAGACCCAACCTCTCCAACACTCATTTTTCAAGCAATTTTATCCCAAAAGGTCTCCCAATTTAAGGAAACAGGAATAGTACAAGCATGCTTTTCTGATTCTTTCATCCTAGTTATGGTTATGGTGACTACTATTCAAAAAGGAAGCTTGTGAGTTCCTCCAGTGCTTCTTAAGAGTTCAGAAAATATGTATCAAGAGGTGAGAAATTGAGCCTAAAATGAGGGTTCACTTCAAGTAAAGTCTTTTAAATATTAAACATTTTTTTTCATACGATGGAAAAGAAACGGTAGAGACACGAACATTAAGGGAATGATAAATGCACATTTCCTTAGGAAAGCATTTGTGTTGAATCACAGCTTGTCATATGAAATGCACGGGGGGCCCTGAGAATTACAAATGTTTGATGAACTGTAAAATAAATACCAAGGTTCAGTCCTGCACAAACTGCCGGACTTGACAGGCCTCTGAAAGGAGAGCTACCCTTTCTCTCTCTCTTTCTGGAAGCTTCATCTCAGCCAAGCAGGAAACACCTCTTTTTGACTCACCCATTTAAGCACATGAGAAGGGAAATGAGAGACTAGGCCTTTGTGGTGATGTCCTCAGTTTAAGACTGTCCTCAAACTCTCCACAAAACATATATTTCCCTCAAGAAATAACTCATGAGAACAAAGAACCACTTTCCTATCTGAGCTTTGAAGGAACAGAAATTACAGCTTGCAGTGCCCTCAACAGGTTGGACCTCTGAGAATGAGCTTCAGAATAGAACACAGCATATTTAGATCAGATCATTAGCAGCCACAGATGCTACTGCTCGGGAGTCAGCTCCCCTGCCAACACATCATCCACCCAACAGTCACAGACGGTGTCCACGAGCCTGAGCTGGGAACCTGACCAGCCGGACACTTGGGGCCTCTGGCTGGAGTCTTGAGGCATGTGCCTTCCAGCCTTTGGCCAGATGCTTGTCTGTAAAAAGGGATGGTGGAGGGAGGGCTGGGAAATGTGCCAAATCTTGGATGGCCAATAGATTTTGTCTTGAGAGCCAAGTCTGACTGATTAGTAATGGCTGTCTGGAGGGCTGTGTTGAGAAGGATTCTGAAGTTATGTCTGAGTTTTGTTGGAAAGAATGTAAGAGCCAAATGGCAATGTCCTTTGTGGGCTAAAAACTCAGGAATGACAAACCATATCCCTGGACACGATGATCTCTCAAGGTCTTCCTATACTTTTTCTTTGTAGTTCTGAGCACATCTATGATTTCTACATAACTTATTTGTTTAATGTCTCTCCCCTGCTAGGTCACAAGCACCACGAGGGCATGAGGATATTTACCTTGTATGTAAGTCTTTATGAAATTCTCTAAGCTGTGCCTGTAACTGGTGTTCACCTTGTTAAAGAAGGTACCTTGTTACTAGGGTATACCTAAGGCCGATGCTAGGGAAAAAGAATTGGGCTAACTGCCTTGAATCCACACCACCTCCATAAACACACCATGTTGATAACCCAAGATGACAGCTTTCAAGAGAAAAAGAAATCTGACAGAAGGATGGACATGAACCCTCAGATTCCCATATGCCTGACATGGACATCTATATATGTGCAGACTATCTCACTGACCCATCGATGCACATAAAACCAGCCTGGGAACTTCCCATCATCATGTGGCCTAAGCTGAGGCAACATCTTTACAAAAACCACCTAGGCATTGTCAACCAGGTTCCACCTCTCTGGATCTGTTTCTTCACTTACTATATAAGAGTCTGCATGGGCAGCTTCAGGTTCCTTCCAGGTTAACACCCCAAGTTGTACGATTCTCTATCCAACTGTGCACACCCTCCAGTCACTTTTTAAAAGGAAGGGTAAAGAAAGAAAAAAGTAGTGGTATGTTCTGGGGTCCCACATTCCTGAAAAAAAGCTGGGCACTGGATGCATCCATGAGATACCTGACATTTGAATGTGGAAAAACTGAGAAAGTGTCATTCGAAAGAGAAGGGAGGAGAGGAAAGGCGATGAAGATGAATGATGACAGTAAAAACAGCACAAGCCACTCTTTAGTGGATACTTTCAATGGACCAGGTACTTGGTTAAGCGCTTTTTCATCATGAGCAATGTTGGTCCTCACAGCGGACCTCCAGGTTAGACAGTAGTATCACCCAGCTTATAGATGAGGAAACAGATAATATTTAGAATAGCTAAGTACCTTGCCAAGGTCACTCAGGCAGGAAATGCTTGAGCTGAGGGTCAAAGTCAAGTCTCTCGGCAGCCCCACCTCTGCTTTATCCATCAGGCTCAAGGTGCTGCTCCTCATGCAGACCAAGGGCACTAGCACCAACCCAAGCTCCTGAAGGACTTCTCAGGCCATTCCATCTGGGCATCTCCCATACTGGAAAGGGGAATGAGAAATTCCAGCACCACCCATTATGGGAGAGTCTGGATGGAGACAGAAAATCCAGCTTACCACAGTTCTCAGTATGTGGTGCATGATGTCACCGTGTAGCATAAATATTTACCATGCCCTTTCCTGTCACAGACATTTACATTTACTCTCTCCTCATCCTAGGACTCTCCCTCATACCCCTCCCTGCTAGCCTAGCAAATGCCTACTTCTCTGGTCAGTTGTCATTGCCTCCCCTGTCTGACCTCTTGCATCATATGTCCTCATCACATGCCCTCATAATATCACATGCCTCCCATTCACGGTATAGTTACTACTACTTGCAGTAACTGCTATGCTGCCCTTCTTTTTTTGGTAACAGAAACCAAACTTTTAGCCAGAGTCAGCTAAATGACCCTGTTAGAGGTTGATATGGCTAAGTGGTTCAGCCATGGTCAATGAGATATTCATGGATGTGGCTTTTCCAGATAGTGTCCTTAAAAGGACTCCCTCCATCCTGCTGCCAGTAAGGTACCTGTGATGGCTGGTGCTCTAGCAGTCATTCTGGACTATGAGGTTATCTTGAGGATGGAAAACCACATACTAGGATGGTGAGGACAGCAGTAATGACAGGCAATTACAACAGCCATGGCCAGCTATCCACCATTCTAACTGCTTCACCTATATTAATTTATTGAAAACTCACAGGAACGTTATTAGGTAAGTTCTATTATTACCCCAGTTTTGTAGATGATGGAACTACAAGGTCACATGGCCAGAAAGCAGCAAAGACAGGATTTGAGAAGGGAGACCAGTAGGAAGGGCAGTGAATAATCCAGATGAGAAATAATGGAGAACTGAATCAGGGTCCTGGTGGTGGAGGTGGTGGGCAGTGGTCTGACCTTAGATCTATTTCAGAGCAGACTTGATAGAGACTGATATGATAATACGGGAGGAGAGACATCAAGAGTGCTTCCAAGGGTTTCGGTCCATGCAAATGCAAAAATGGAACAGCCATTTACTGAAAAGAGGAAGACAAAAGGAGGAGAGTATTTGAGGAAAGCTCTCCAGAGT